AGCAAAAAGCGCGACATGCACGCAATCGTTAGTGACAATTGGAGTTACCAGAGGCAGACTCTGGTTGATGTAAGGTGCAACTTGAGCCTCTGATGCGGCAGGAGGCTCCTCTATAGGCGCGCTAAGGTGCAAAGGATGTTTGGGGTCATCCCTGACCTCTGATGATGCAAGCGGTGGTAGCAGTGATGGTGATGGCATGATTGGCGAGATTTCTTCCTTAAGTGTTGCGATAGCGAGGGGCGAGCATGTTTCTAGCGGTGCATTAGTGTGCAATAGATGATTAGAGTCATCCCTGACTAATGGCGAGGCTATAGCGATAGGCGCGTGCGATGCGATAGCGATAGGTGCGCGTGTTTCAACTGGCGCGTTAGTGTGCAATAGATGTTTAGAGTCATCCCTGACTACTGACGCGATTGATGGTGATGGTGATGATGCGGATTGTGAAGGAGATGGTGCTGCTGAGGATGATGGTGAAGAGGCACCTGCAGTGCGCGTCTGGTTGCGCTTCGCGAGCGCGCGCTCGAGTTCGTGATCTAGAGTGATACAGTCTGGTATAGCTTTGCATGCTGGCATAGTTGATGGTGGAGGTGTGTGTGAATTGCGCGAAGGCGCGGGAAAGGCGCGCGCGCGAGGCGCAAGAATAGGAACTGGTGGCCTTTTGTCAAGTGCAACTTCTGAGGGTGCGCAATAGAAGAGTCCTGCTGTCGCATTAGTACTGGTGGTCGTATCCTGGGTTGCGTGGCTCGCGTGATAGCGATCTTGGCACTTAGCCACTGGTGCGCTAACTGGCGTGTTTGGCGCTATAGTGGGCGCGCTAATTGGTGCGCTTACTGGTGTGCTTGGCGCGGGAAAAGCGCGCCCAGATAATAGGAACTGCGCAGCTGCAAAGACGTCCATAAATGGATATGGGTCGTATGGGTGGTGGTCAGGGAACTTGATCATAAGGCGCAAGCGGATTTGCGCCTGAGCATCGCTAGGGATTCCTTCCATGAATAAGCGGTCGCGTTCGGCCTTTCCAATACAGTCTTCGTCCATGAGTGGCTGCATAACCTTCCTGAATGCACGCAGGTAATTGCTGAGTTCTGTGCAAGAAGGCATTGGTTTGTTAGCGTATTCGCGCGCAATGGCGCGCAAGTCCGCAAGCGCATAGCGTCTTTTACCATCCCATCCAGGATACATTACCTTTACCTCGTCTAAGAAGGCGTCATAATCGCTTACTTGCGCTTCAGGCATTCCGCCCCATAGTTCTCGATCGTCGCGCTCAAGGTAGCGGATAATACCTTTGATGCGGTCGAGTCCTTGGAGTCCTGCTTCATCAGCGAGCTGCTCATAGGTATCAATAAACTCGGCGAGGTTGTCTGTAGTGCCGTCGAACTTGGGCGCGTTTGCTGTGCCGCGGATGGGCATTCTATAAGGCATTGCAGTGTGAAAGAGCGCAGGCGCGCGCGAGGCGTATAGGGGTGGGAAAGCGCGTGCGCAAGGCGCGAGAATGCGTGACTAGAAATTGGTTAGCTTTTGAATTTGCAAAGAGATTGACCTTATATGTGCGAATTGCGCTAAGTGCAAAGGTGCGCTCGCAAGGCGCACAGGGGTGGGAAAGCGCGCGCGCAAGGCGCGAGAATGCGTGACTAGAAACTGGTTAGCTTGTGAAAATGCAAAGAGATTGACCTGTATGTGTTAAGATGCGCAAAACTAGATCTTGCTGACTGCTCCCCTCGCGGTGGGCTCCAGTTGTAGAAACAACAATACAATGAGGAACAAAAGAAGCTCCTGACTGTATCTGTAAAAGTTGTAAGGTCGCGCGCTGCCTAGTCTGCGTTACTTGAGAAGCAAGTGCGTTCGACCCTATAGGGGAAGTGAGTGCAGCAAGGATCTAGAAGTGTGCGCTTAAGCGAAGCGCGAGAAAGCGCAGGAGCGCGCAAGGTACAAAGGCGCGGGAACGCGCGCGCGTATTAGCGCGAAGCGTGGGAAAGTGCGCGCGCATATGCGGAAATGAGAAACTAAGCTTAAGTAGTGATATAAAGCAAGATAAGAGATATAAGAGTGCAAAATGTAAAGGAATAGCTTTCTACTATATTCTGCTAAGTAGTAAGTGGGTAGTAACTAGTAAGTGAAAAGTAGGAAAAGTAGGTCCGTAATAGTATGTACTGCTGGCGCTTATATAGCGCGCCTAAGCGCGGTCAAGCGGAGCCGAAGCGCTACCGAGTAGGTATGTAAATATATATATGAGTGAGAATGCATGATAAAAATAAAGGTGGAACTATGCTAATAAAGGAAATGGAAATATACGCACTAGGGAGCTTGGTGGACAGTGGATGGATGCTTCTGGATGGCTGGCGCCATAGGGCGCGCAAGCGCGGGAACGCGCGCGCGCGTATACATCGCGAAGCGCGGGAATGGTGCGCGCATGGCGCGCGTTGCGCGGGAAAGCTGCGCGTCATATAGAGATAGCTGTGGGTAGTGCACAGAGTGACGCTACAAGTTCGTGCTATGTACTTCCTAGTGTAAAGCACCATATCACGCCATGAGAGGCATAATTCTCTACAGCGTTGCGGCATTTCATAAAAAGATGGAGACAGACCAAGCTGCTGCGCGTGCTGATGCACCTAAGCCTAGTCGTCCTCGTCCTCGTCCTGTGAAAAAGGCTGTGAAAGCTCCAGAGACCACCGACTTGACTACGGCTGCCGGTAAGGCTGTTGGCGCTATAGGCAATGGTGGCAGGGCTGATAAATCAGCAGCCAGTGCCAATATTGAGCATCCTGGGAGTGAAGAAGACGAGGAGTTGGAGGTGCAGATGCCAGGAGCACGCAAGAAGAAGGGAAAGAGGATGGTGATCCCAGTGAAAACACCTGTGAGAGATGCGATTGATGTGGCAGGTGCCCTTATCGCCAACGAATCAACACAGGCACGTGATGATGATAAGTCGTCTGACTCGGATGTGTAAGGCATTTAATCGTTTTAACCATGAAGCTCCATCTGACTGAAACATCACTTTTTTTCTTCAATCTTATGGTCTATGATGACGATGCTAGCTCTCCACCTGGTTCTAAAAAATTCAGTCATATCGGTCGTATCCCGAATTGGAGGATGCACATTCACATTGGAAAGCCATCCTCCGAGTCCAACTTGAAGCACCGTGGGAGAGCTTCTGGAGCGCCTTCTACTACTATCTCTAGTGCCACTCCCTCCTCTAAGCTCACCAGGGGGAGCACTTTGAGTAGTGGTGGTGCCTTACTCACGCCTATCGATACTCCCGATGCTGGGGCCAACGACGTGTCGGATCTTTTTACAACTCTGTTTGCAGACGACGAATTAACCGACTCAGTCGAGCGCTCTCAAGCACTCGCTCGTATGTCAAAATCAAAGGCTTCTCAGGTAAGTCCAACCATCTAGTTTATTTCTATGTGCTAACTGCATTTCCAGGGTGTCAAAATTTCTCAAAAGGTCTCAGAGAATTCTCGACTTCAAACGAAGTTACCCCATCGCAATGCCAATCTGGCACCCAAGCAGCTCGACCCGATTGAGCCTGATGTCACCGCGGATGATGGTGCCTTCAATCTCGTGGGCGATGATCTTGAAGTGAATGCGGAGACTGCTCCTCCAGTAACTTCCCTCGTTGACTATGATTCCAATACCGAGAGGGAATCTGATCTTGAACCCCCTCCTTCTGCACAGGTTCCAAAAGGATACTATGATGCCGACCGGCCTCCACGTCTCGCTCCATCCTACTTATCCCGCTGTAGAGACTCGTGTGTCTCATGGTGTGATATGGCAGGTTTCACTAGGAAGTATACAGCACAAACTCGCAGCGTCATTCTGTGCGCTACCCACAGCTATCTCTATATGATGCGCAGCTTTCCCACGCAATGCGCGCCATGCGCGCACCATTCCCGCGCTTCGCGATGTATACGCGCGCGCGCGTTCCTGCGCTTGCGCGCCCTATAGCGCCAGCCATTCAGATGCATCCATCCACTGTCCACCAAGCTTCCTAGTACGTATATTTCCATTTCCTTTATTAGCATAGTTCCACCTTTATTTTTATCATAGTTTCTCACTCATATATATCCTTACATACCTACTCGGTAGCGCTTCGGCTCCGCATGACCGCGCTTAGGCGCGCTATATAAGCGCCAGCAGTACATACTACACGGGAACTACTTTTTCCCTTTCACTTACTAGTTACTACCCACTTACTACTTAGCAGAATATAGTAGAAAGCTATTCCTTTACATTTTGCACTCTTATATCTCTTATCTTGCTTTATATCACTACTTAAGCTTAGTTTCTCATTTCCGCATACGCGCGCGCACTTTCCTGCGCTTCGCGCTAATACGCGCGCGCGTTCCCGCGCCTTTGTACCTTGCGCGCTCCTGCGCTTTCTCGCGCTTCGCTTAAGCGCACACTTCTAGATCCTTGCTGCACTCACTTCCCCTATAGGGTCGAACGCACTTGCTTCTCAAGTAACGCAGACTAGGCAGCGCGCGACCTTACAACTTTTACAGATACAGTCAGGAGCTTCTTTTGTTCCTCATTGTATTGTTGTTTCTACACCGCCCTACCAGCGTCAAGCGCAAACTCGTAGATGCTGAGGATGACATTACTGACGATGACTTGATTGAGGACACTCTAATCGAGGACAACCTCATGATCACAGATGACTTTGCGATCGAGGACGACCTCATGTTAACGGATGTGATCAAGGACGACATCATGATCGAAGACGACCTCATGATCGAAGACGACCTCATGATCGAAGACGACCTCATGATCGAGGATGGCCTGGTCGACGAAGACTCACCCTCCTCCGAAATCGAGTTTGTGGCTCACGTCGAGCCTGTGGTCAAGACTGAGTACAAACCAGTGTCCTTGCGGTTGACTTCTACGGTAGTGTGCTTTGGGTTCAATTATTTGAATTCTACTGACTACAAAATTTATAGACCGGTGTCGGCGTCAAACGCAATGCCCCCCCTGCAGCAAAGCGGCTGAAGTCTTCTCGCAGCATGTCCAGCATTCCAAGTACTGTGAAACCTCAGGCTGGTCCCGCGAATCCGTTAGAGGTGACAGTGGAGATCCTCCCCCGTTCTTCATATAGGATCAAGCATCTTCCTGGAGGACCTCGGGCAGTGGCTAGGTGGAGCACAACCTTCATTCCCACTCTCATTTCTGCTATCGGAGACCAGGAAGAAGTCTGGGGTCGTATCAAGTCGGAAGCAACGTTCCACGCTACTATACAGGACACCTGGGATGCTGTCTATGAAGATATCCCCCATATCGTCACGAATGATGGACCCGTTATAGCTATAGTGAGTTATCTTTGACACTATTCATGTCTGACCTTTATTTTTTCCTAGGCTCTGCAACGGCTATCAGAGTGGCGCAATTGCATTGGCACCACGGCTGTCACGGTATACACAAACTTCCTGTCGTTGCAAGATGATGTCAAGACTGATGAAGATCGCAAAGCATTTTCCGAGAGCTTACTTGTCAAGTTAGCATTCCTGTATGGGAACATCCCGGAGGAAGGGAAATTGGAGAACCCTTTCGAGTCTGAGCTTATCATTCAGGTACTCACACAGCACGCATGCGCTACTTTGGGTGCTATTGGCGACCATCACACAACAGCGCATGCAAAAGGTGCACTCAGCCTTTGCACTGCAGCGGCATGTATCTTCCTGCCCTCTCTTCACAGCACGGCTAATTATTTCCTGTGTTTTAGGTGGAACGTGCCATCCGCCTTATCGCTTCCGAGACGCTTGTCAGCGAATTGGAGGCGAACAGTAAAGGCAAGGCCGTCAAGGTCCCTCACTCTCTCAACAAGTCCTCGGGCAAGATCAGCGGCTCTCGAAAGGCGTTCTCGGACACTAATTTCGGTGTAATGACCAGGCGCTACATGACATCCATCAACCGCCTACAAGACTCAGTCATCCAGGATATCTGGGAACAGGCGAAGGAGATTGCCTTTAAGAGGCGCGGTGCACCCTCCGCTCCAGACGAAGACTTGGAGGATGAGCGCGCACTCATAGGGTTCTAGTTGTTGTCTTTCTTGTTGCCCACTGCATGCATCTCCTTCACTGCTTCACTGCTTCATAGTATGCTACTGCTTCGCTAATTGCTGCTTCTGAAACTCCTTTTTAGTGTCTTTTGTCCAACTTTTTCTATACTTAATCTACTTGTCGCTTGAAATGCTATGTTTTGCCGTCATTTTTCTCTCAAAAAGTGTGATTAAGTCGCAAACAAGTAGAAAATAAGTGAGATAAGTGTTATTACTTGCTGCTACTTTTGCTAGCACTTGCACTACTTACAAAGGCAAAATTATCGAAAAAAGGCCAAAATAAGAGTGGAAAAAGGTCCAGTCAAGAGGAGGCATCTGCTTTTTCAACTTAAAATTGCTTGTGGCAAGTGGGTGTCACAGTTCTTGCGCATGGCTTATCCGCACCTTTTTTGGAAGTTAACCGGCGGCAAGTTACAAAAAAGGCAGTTCAAGAATTGTGAGAATTTACTGATGTGCATCAGCAAAAGACCTTGAAATTTCGCTTGTCAGAAAGAAGTTTGATGCTTACGGTGAGCTTACGGCCTGGTGATCGGAGCAACGCGATTGGTGGAACAAACTTTTCCGTTGTACACCGTAAATACTCGATATCGATAGTGTTATAATTTTTAAACGGGTGTATGTATTGCATTATATGTTATTATATTGAGATTGAGTTGAAATACTAGTCTAGGGTTCGGAATTGCATTTCCAAACACCGAGTAGGGTCATTTGTATTGATCATTGGGCCATTCAGAAAGTTCAGAATCACAGCAATCGATTGACATGCATTCAAATCTGCGCTACTAATACTATTAACGATCAATACTACGCGAACTCCGTACTAAACGTATGATAACTTTCTTTATCTGCAAAGTTATTCAAAAAAAACCGGTCATAGGACTCCAAACACGTCGTCGCAGAAATGTCCTTGTTGACCTTCTCACCGTATTCTGGTATCAGTTCGACAGCATGTGTAACATCCGTCAACAACACCACACCACCACGCCTATAGCGTTTGCCATGTTGGTCCACCACATATGACTGCTCTACTGTCCACATCGCGAGTTCGGGACGGTCATTGGGATTGGCGACGAAGTCAAAATATTGTATGTAGAGGAGCGGACTGGAAAGATATGTTGGAAGAACCAGGTTGGAAGCACGTGGAACCTTGGGCTGAAAAATAAGTCGAACTTGGGCGACGCGACTTGCTGAATATCACCTCGTTAGTGTTAGAATATGACAGCAGAAAATATACGTACTAATTTGGCCATCATCACTCGTAACATCGACAAGGACGGTATCACAGTTCCCGAGGGGAAATAGGTCGCTGGGAGGGTATGATTGGATCACCCTGCTTGGCATGATCACTCGAGGTTGGAAGGCAGAGTGAAGTTGCAATCGAAATTTGTTCCACGCGTAAAAGCGTCCATGTCTGTGGTCCCAGCGAGTATTCTCGCCACTGGAGAGGGAAGAACGCTGGATGAACTGGGAGACTGCGTGATCAAAATCAACGAGTGCGTATTTGGTGAGAATATCGACGGGCGACAGGGACTTGAGATCTGGTGTTGAAGTTAAATGGAAGGCAGTGAGAGCATCTCCAGAAAGAATGCCCTTGTGAAAATGATTACGGACTCGTCGAGGTCCATGGACAGAATATGCTTCATCGGGGAGTATACGAGAAATCCAGGAGAGTGCTGGGTTGACGGTCGTCACTTCCTCATCTTCAAGGTTTATGGCGTTGACGAGCGATGCGCCATGGGAAGTGATTAGCGCGTACAGGTTGAACAATTCCATTGACTCCTGGCGATTGAGAATCCGTACACACTGCTCCGTGAAATCATTCACTCGTCGACTTGTTCGGGCAAAGAGATCCTTGCAGTGAGTGATGAGCAAGCGCTCCGTCATGTCGGCTGAAAACTGCATCAAAGTACCCAGTCTCTCAATCGTGCCTCTGAAGCTTTGGAGTAACTCGAGCTTGGGGATGAAAAAGTCTTCTTTGGCGCCCTTCTTCCCCCTCCTCGCCTCGGCCTCGACGATAGCATCCTTGAATGCATGAAAATCGGAGAGTGCCTGCACCATCGACTGTAAGGATTCAGGAGAATGGACTGGATTTTGAGCATAATAGAAAAAATCTATGAGAGCGCGGATTGCGCGAACGAATCTAGGTGGAGCAGCGCCTGAGATTGAAGCAACAATGGTGCGTTGAATATCACGATGCTCACGCCCAGTCATTTGGTTGACGTGCGTGATGCCTTTAGTAAAGTGGTGCGTCCCTACCCATTTGTGCTGAGTGATGAAGCGGGTGTCGAGCTCGGTTTTTCCTACTATCTCCTTGATCCATTTGAGTGGATGATCTGCAAAAAACTTATGAAGGGTATGTAAAACTTCGCCAGGGAGAAAGACGGATGGACACGAAAACGACCAATCAAGCCAATATGGCATGTGGACCCCAGACAGATGGGCAGCTTTTGCTGCCTTCTGAAATTTGTCGAGATCCCAAGGATCAATCTCTTTGGCGATCTCGTGTATAAGTTGTAGTGTGTGCTTCCCAGTGCGAGGAGGATAGAGAATTCCGTCACCGAATTTGTCTTGTGTCGCCATAGTGATTGGAGAGACATTCTTGCTGACTGCAGCGATCATGGAGGCCTCAGGAAGGTCACATACATGGGCGATGAGTGGTGTAAAGACGTATCGAATATGTCGGGAAGGATCAGGCATAAAACAGCCATCACTCGCTGCAACCTTCAGGTTGGCGCAGACGAGATCAACGCACTTATGCCATAGCCGCGCCTGAAGAATGGTCTGATAGTCAGAATGCACGCGAAACTTGCTAACAGGCATGTAGGCGATACAGCGCCAAGCTCGCAGGGTGGCCTTGGAGCGAACCTCCGAATCGATGTTACCGATGGTGATGAAAAGTGGGTGCATCTCGAGCCCTCCAGTAATCCGCGTGACAGGAGTCTTATCGGATCCCAGGATGATAGGTACTTGCGTAGCACCTACTGGCAGATAGTCCTAGGTATATAGAATTAACTTCAAGTAGTAGACTTAAAGGGCCAAACTAACCTGGATTTTCCATGCCATATCGGCACTCATATAATCTCCATACTCGCGTTGACTTCCTGTATTGACTACGTGTGGCTGGAAGGTAATGTGATTGGCGAAAACCGGATCGCTGAAAAGTTGTTTGACAACCTCTAGAGCATCGCGCCAAATAAGTTGCACGGGATAAGTCGTCTTGTAGCCCATAAACTCTAGGTTCGAAACTTTCCATGGCACAAAGGAGGGTAGTGCATCGGTCCAATCTAGAAGTTGCTCCTTGGAGGTGAAGGATGGTTTTAGGCGAGTGTGAAACTGGAAACAACGGAGTCAGGCCTGTCGAGCAGCACTCAAAGTCTCTCCTACCCATTTTAACTTTAAAAACTTGTCAATCTGAGCTTGAGTTAAGTTTTCAACCAAGAACTTTGCCAACTCCCATTCTCCTTCATCATGGAAAGGGTAATACGTATTTATTTCTCGCCGATAATTATACTGATCGTCTTGCAGCCTGTCAAACAGGTTCTTGCCAACACCAAAGACATATCCCGAGTGCGGATGACAATAACCAGTAGTGGTAGAAGGTTTTGACGATTGGGAACCTCGCAACCCAGGGGGAACAGGGAATTGATGCGGACGTTCCTCGTGCGGCCAACAGGTAGACTGAGAATTCAAGTGCAGGGTAATGGCCTCGATTGTAGGAAACTCTTTACTGCAGTTGGGACAAAACCTGGTACAGGTATGTCCATTGATCATCAGCACTATTGAGTGACAATGATAAGTATACGCACATTTGCTGCCCTTTGCTGAGTGCTAGGTGTTACGCAGTGCACAAATCGATTCAGTCTTTTAGACTCCGCCGGCTGATGTCAACCTTGTGATAATCCAACAGGTCGCTTCATATAATTGCAGATTTCCCAGTTAGCCTTCCGCAGGTTCTCCCAAGTCCACCCTTTGTACATGATGATTCATACAGTCTCTTCTCCACAAGTCAGTTCCTCCCCCGTTTCTCGAGGCGGTAGTTGCCCTCCTCCATCAAGCAGTCCTCCATCTTCACCTCTGTCAGGCGGACGTGCTACCACTCCTGGATCATCTCTTTTTGATTCCAGTCTCAAGTCAGAAAGCTTTCCCAATACGAGGCATTCTGACATATGTGCTTCACTAAGAAGCATATCCTCACTGTCAAAGACACCTCAGATTGCAGCTGCCAAATCGGAGACGGACAGCCTATTCTATAATCCGTCTACACCTCCAAATCCTGCATGCGCTTCTCGACGTGGCTTTATCCGCGAGAGAATGAGCAACAAGTTCATTCCGTACCCCCCCTCTCCGGCTCCAATTGAGGTCCGTTATGCAGCTCGTGTCACTGGGCGAGAATGCAAACCATACGTATCCTCTGACTCACTTCTCGAGGTATCGTGTATTTCTTTTATTTAATTGTAGAGACTAAATTATTGAAAGCATGCCGGAACATTGGAAAATGGCCTCACGCAAATGCGTCCTGCAACCTTGTACAAAGGGTATCAAGCAAAGCTTGCTGCTCGTGAGACTGCATGCCAGCGCATGTTGGTGACCGCATGGGAAATCGAGGAAACCGAGCGCTTCCTTGAGTTCCTGGATGCTCTGCATGTCGACAACGAAGAACGGCTCGGATTCGCTCAAGAAGACTTAAACATCTTTAGGAAGCTATTTTCTGAGCGTGACCGTTCTGATGTCAATGACGACAGAGATTACCTTCAAGCTGTCTACAAGGATGAAATGGAGATTCTTCGCGTTGTCTCGCTACAAGCTGAGCAGTTCTCAAAGATCTTAGGTGCATGTGTCAAGAAGGATTTCTTGCAACCTGGAGCCAAAGGATCGGGATCACCATCGCCTGAGCCTGGGGTTTCGATTAGAGATAATCTGGTATCCGCAGATCAGGAAGATAACTCACAGGTTTCGGTCAATTCGGCAGCACAGTCCACACACCCTTCCCGTACGCCGTTATTTGTATGAGCCCTGCGCTTCCAATTGAGGTATGTATACACGTGTCCGGTCATTATGCGCTCGACTGATCAATCGATAAGAACGCATTGTAACATGCATGCTACAGTTTAGCAAATCCATCATGGCCCCTTTCTCATTTGTATTCATTTTTCACATCTGCAGCTGTTCTTTTTACATCGTGCCCCTTCATTTTAACCCTTATCCTGTTCGCAGCCCCATGTCACAAGACGTGTAGTTTATTTGGGTGTTGTTTGTGTACAGTCGCTTCTCGTAGAATTCAAATTGGACTGCTCTCTGCGCCCATGCATCCTCAACTCCCTCTACTTTATGGCCAGCAAACGTGCACCGCCCCGCAAAGGTAAGACTAACTTTGCAAAACCTGCTCGTGGTTCGGGCCTCAACCCATCTCATGCTCCCGCGGACAGTCAATTGAATCTCGTCGATGAGCAACCGCGCGAACCGATGTCTTTTTTTAACCCTCACGCCTCAAATCAGCCGCTGCCATTCAATCCTCACACTACCCACCATCCGCACCATCCACAGGACTCCGCGCACCATCAGCACACATCCGCTCCCCACCAGCGTGAGTCTACTTACGATCAGCATGAAGACTTCGCCCAGCATCAGCAAGAAGATCTCGCACATCATCATCAGGATTTCGCCCAGCATCAGCATCAGTCCGCTCCCTACCAGCGCGAGCCAGCTTACCAGCATGAAGATCTCGCGCACTATCAGCATCAGGACTTCGCGCCTCCTCAGCAGGACTTGCGCCTCCTCAGCAGGACTTTGCGCCTCCTCAGCAGGACTTTGCGCCTCCTCAGCAGGACTTTGCGCCTCCTCAGCAGGACTTTGCGTATCCTCAGCAGGACTTTGCGTATCCTCAGCAGGACTTCGCGTATCCTCAGCAGGACTTCGCGTCTGGCGCTGGATCCTCGACCGGATATGTTGCTCCGTCATTAGGTAAGTCTGCCTGCGCTCATAACATATGTCTAGCACTTACCCTTCCACCATAGCGCCCAGTTGGGTCGGCGATGATGAGGAATTTCAGACTCATTCAGTCCTGCCACCGGATCTCCACCACTTACGGCCAATGTCGACAGGAGAGATCCCCAACTCCCATGTGATACATGTAAGTCAATGTTAGTATCTGCATCATCGAAAATTGACCTGACATTACTAGACTACAGGGCCTGCAAGGACATCGAAAGCACGTCGTCGTGCAACTCGACGTCTGCCCCCCACACCACGCCTTGTCATTCCTGTTGTGACGCCCACAACGATGACGGGGACTGTCGCACCTCCAGAATCCATCGAAGGTTCCGCCGTTGACATTAGTCCCGAGACGCGCAAACAAGCGATCTCGGCCTCAAAGGAACGCGTATTATCCATCGTCTTTTCCGACGACGCACTGGTATCTCTCGCGGCTGACAAAAAGCGCATCGTCAAAAAGGTCATTTCCGAAGTAAGATCTAGAATACCAGCCCTTCTCGGTATGAATTAACACGCGAACACTGACTTATACTAACTATTTGATCCTACTAGTTGCAACACAATGGACGGCTAACGAAAAGGACGTCGCGAACGTTTGGTGCGCAGTGACGAAATTTCGCACTGCATTCGCAACGATCATCCGACAAGCTGTCGTGATGGGATATTCCCTCTTCCCACCACAGGGCTGTACTATCCCCCCAGATACTTTTCGTGTCGATCGGATACGCTGCCTCGTCGTAGATAACGACTTAGCGTTCATGCATCAATACACTTTTGCAGTAAGTCTTTATTCATTTTCGAGAACATTTTTTTAATCTATTTCGACAGGACGGTGCGCTTGTCATTCACTCGAAATTCACCAACCCATTCATCCTTCATGTCCTAACGAAACTCATCTGGTGTTCGCCCTTCCGGCTCCACACTTTTCTCGACGAATGCCCACGCCGTCAAATACGTTATGCTATTGGCGCAGCCGGCGCCATTACAGAGTCTGCATTGATGGAGCAGGGCTTGATACAACTTACAAAGGGTAGGATTACCCCCCAGATGACGCATTCGACATTCACAAAGATTGTTCTGGGCCTGGATCAGCTAAGTGACGCTGAAAAGGTTATTTTAGACGACTTCACAGACAGCATCGTCGTTTGCGGGCGCTCGCAACAGCAAGCCAACGACGAACTATCTGATTTTGATTTTGAATAGATACATCATGTATACCGATAATATATTCACATTAGCTAATAGTTGTATCTCACTTGTGAAAATTTCGATGCTATTTTACATATTTGTATCGTGTCCGATTCAAAAAACTAACATTTTACTACAACGGCAGTCCCAGAGCGGTACTTTTCTCTCGGTTGAGCCAAAACGACATTTACGAACGCATGCCCTGAGCTATACCCAATCCGAGTTGTTCAGAACAACTTTCGAACTCGTTGTCGGTAACTCGACTCTTTTAGATGTGGTTTCACCCCCATGCTGTCACTTATGTCTGTGAAACTGTCAGCGCCAAAATGGATGCCGTGAAGGAAGATCTTCGGGGAACGCTCGACTCCGTCACTCCAGAATTCCTGTCAACATGGGACCTTAATTCGATGATGCGAGACATGGTTGTACCCAAAGTGCCAGTCCTGCAATCTATCCTGCGTCGTGCTGCTCAGACGGATCGTGCTGTGGCCAAGAACAAGATAAAAGATTGCAGTACTGTATGATACATTACATTTTCTGATGTTTATGTATCTTTCATTAATGAACATATTTCTTGTTTCAAAGGCGTGTAACGTGATTATCACCCAACTCGCGTCTCAGCGCTCGCATCATAGCCTTTTCCTTGCTGCTCCGTTTACTCTCTTCCTCTGGACAAATGGTGCATCCAGGCAAACCATCGAAGCCCTGTACAAATGCAGCCTTTGCATTTCATTTACATCCCTCCTTACACTGCTCGAGAAGCTTGCTGCACGGTGCCTCGAACATGCAAGACAGCTTGTCCGTCAGCCACATGTGATGTGCTATGACAACATAAATATAAGCACATCTATCTTTGTTGAACAGCGACCTGATGCTCCAGCGAAGGTTCAGTCAGGAACCTTTGCCATTCTTTATGAAGTTCGCAATGGGAATCCAGATTATATGCACCTCTTGCCGATGTTGAACCGTCCCCTCCATGCTACTGAAATCTCGTTCAGCTCTGATGTTCGTCCGACCTTCGATCAGATGCATTCATTCCAATATCAACTTCGCATTCATGTTATTGAAATTCTCCTTGACAACTGCTCGAACTTTTCGGATTATGATCGGTCAACACTACGTCATGGTGAACGTCACAAAATGCCTCGAGGTTATTGGACGAAACAATTTCCCTTGCGTACCTCGACTATCGACGAAAGTTCCATCACAGGGAATATTGCAGTCATAAACGACGTCTACATAAATCAACTGCAGATGAAACATCATGAATTATCAGATCGAGCCATTCCTAGTTTCAACGACCAGTCTACTAATGCTTGCATTCGAGGAGCGAAAACTCTACGGGTGAAAGACATCAATCCCTTCACTCATCTTCAAGTCATTCAACTTGGATTTGGCCTGTTCCACCTCTGTCTTAATCTTGTCTGGGCACTCCTCCATGTTCATCGAGGATCTATTCATCAAATTGGTAGCCTCTCGTATTTCTTCACTCTACTTGATCGAACACAACTTGGATGCGAACACCCGGACTATCACACACTTCTTGCAACACTGATGCAGATTCTACAAGGCATTGTCGTGAATGCTTGGCGGAAGGAGTGCGGGCATGTTTCATTAGCTGTCTTTGCTTCTTCAGACCCTACTGCCGACAAACTTCTTGAGATCGCGGACAAGATTCTCATTACACACGCTACACCTGTTCATGAGCCGTCCAAGAAGAAACGAAACCATGCAACTCTATTCGAGGATTCCGAACCCACAGACACGGCTCACCATAACCTGCAGCTTCTTACCCGTGATCTTCTCTATGTTCTGGAGCTAACCAGTGCCATCTCGCACGGTGACTGGGGCTGCATTGAAGATATCCTCGGAAACTTAGCAATGATATTCCGCGGAGCCGGCTCGAACAACTACTGCTCTGAAATCCTTCATTTTCTCTTTAACCTTAAGAAAATCTGGACTCCTGAATTTGCGTGCGATTTCATTTTCACTTTTAGATTATTTTGACGTTTTTAACATTATACTATTTCAACAGGGACATTATGCGAGACAACGCACTCGTCAACCTGACTGGCCTCGAAGGACACTGCATGCCTATCGATCTCAATATTGAACACCTCATCAAATTTTTGAAGGCATGTGTAGCTTTGGATCCGAACTGTTCTGTACTCCTTCATTGATGAGCTGTACTATTATACCATGCAGCTTTTCTTTTCAGCGAAAGGAATTTACTCCACTTGGGATCGTCTTGGCGACATATCCGCAACCGTTTCCCTACTACAAAACGTCAAAAAGCAAGTCAGACATGCACTCGGTATTGGCTATCATGGCCTGAATCACACAACCCCCAACACAACACCTTCTGTCTGGAGAGTCGCAAACAAAATCAATGAACTGAGTCTTCACACATTTAACCAAGATCGTGAGGATAATGATTCCGTGAAGCCCGTTGCAGATGTACTTGCGAAGGTGAACAAAAACTCAAATCTTCGACACTTTCAACTTTTAATAGGAAGGTGCGAGAAATGCTGGCAGGCAAAGGATACGAGCAGGAGGAAGACGAGTTGCCAAGGGCTGCTTTTGACTTGGCTAGTGCTACTACAGAGGATAGCTGAATGTTATTATACATGAATAGTAGGTGCTCCAGTGCGAGTTTTCTTAGCTGGCCGAGAACTTGAAGCCGCTGCAATATTCTTCTCATCGAACTGAGTAATCAGCTTCAGTATCTGTACTCCACAATCCTTTCCCCACTCCACAGTCTCCTCCAACAGTGTAACAATGGCATCTACCGTCTTCACGTTGTCTTGATGTGTCTTGCTGAGGAGTTCAAGGCCACCATCGTCACATATCCATGTAATGGGCCAAACCGATCGAAGAGGATGATTTGAATGAGCCTCTGCCCTCCATGTGTGTAGATTTTCAAGTAGAAGTGCGCGGAGCTCTTTGTCACGCAGTCGGTTGTGCTTGCATTTCGGAGGAGCAGTTGAGAATGGATCACTGGTGCTGTCTAACGAGTGCATGCTGCCAAGGAAATACATAGACAGATTGAAGTTAGAATCAGGATGCCGGTCACAACATGTTATGGTAACATAGTGGAGTGCTATCCACCGAAGCACAGTGGTCAGTGGAAAGTGATTGCTAACAAGAAAAAAATGTTACTACCTGTTGGTGTCTGATCATTGAGATACTTCGCAAAGAACACCCGAAGACATGTTTTCGATTGTACATATCGTAGTGCAGCGCATCCCGTACGGTCTCTTTTTGATGAGTTTTTCTTCAATGTGGTTACTGCATACGGTCTGTCAGGATCATCAGTGTTATCGTGCTCCTCAGTCAGATTAGCCTCCAGTGCCCATGGCTCAATCATCATCAGGTAAAGCCCACACAAATGACCATCTCGCACAGCACAACCACCCCGCTGGAGTGCCTCCGACAAGTTCCTCGGGATGCCATATTGTATTACGATCATGACACCCTGTATGTCTAGACCCTCCATATTGCAATCCAGGGTCAGCCGGTTGAAAGAAACAAGGCAGACAAGGGTTCTTACAGTTGAGGCTCCAGACGTAGCATGGATGATACGACAAGTGCCCGAGACTGATGCGAAATCATCGTAAGTTTGCTGAAGGTATTCTGCCGACATGTCACTATGGTAATGTTTCACGATTCCCTGATTCTGTAATTGTTTCGGCAGATGGGAATCATTGTATGCAGCTGCATCTGCGGCTTCTTGCTTATTATCGTGGAATATGAGTGTCTTCGGAATCACCATTGGTGGTCTATACTCTGCTGGGATCAAGAGGTCAAAATTATGAAAATTGTGAGGGCCTCCAATGAGTGGTGTCGTTGTGTAGGTAATATTTTGACGGTTAGCTGACAGCGCTAGATAGATATGGTCTGGTGGCATCATAAGCTGGTGTTTTACGGTTGAGAGAATGTGAGGTGGAAGTGTCACTGAAAGGGCTTGAAATGTCGTGCCCTTGAAAAGAAGTACACGAAGTTCACCAAGCTTGCTGTAAGCCGGTCGAAATGCATCTTCACTGTGGTGTGACAATCCTGCAGTATAAATGCTGTGAGCTTCATCAACATGCACACGTTTAATGCGTCGAGTGAAGGTCTGATCCTGTCCCAGGAGCCGTGCGAGGCGTGGAAGGTGACCATTGAACATTGATAGTTGTTCCGGTGAAACAATGAGGTGAGTAAATTTTCCTACGCGAATTGACTGGTAGCAAATGTTCTGCATTAGCTCCAGCGCACTAACGACAATGCATGACTGAGCTTTGGTTTTACCTCCCAGAGAGCTGGATCTGCTGCAGTGTCCTCATTGATCGAGATCGTAGGAATGCCATATTTTGTCGATTCAAGAACCTGTGATAGTGAAATTCTACATGTTATGGTGCACGAAGTTGTTACACTTGGACTGAATTACCTGGGTGGCCTGCAGACGTTTGAGTGGTGAGATAGTCATGCTAATGGTGCCAGGGCGGAGCAGAATGGGAATAATGATGCATAAAGTCTTCCCACTGCCTGTTCCTGCAGTTATCACACTATCTTGACCGTTCAAAGTTGCAAGAACTGCTTCGAGCTGAAATTGACGTGGAACAATGATGGTTGCCGTCAAAACGAACACAATCAAGCACGCACGTAACGTGTCCGTTCGGTTGATATCACCGAGTGTCTGAAGGTAGTTTGTTGGGAGCCAGTCTTGAATAAGATCATGTGCAAAATGATCCAGCACATCCAGTGATGCAGCACGGATGCCCTCTATGAGTGAGTGCTGGTCCATGAATTTCGCAAGTGTATTAAGGCGCGTCGCGTTGCGTCAATAGAGAAATTATATTGTTTATTTCCTATTCTATGCACAGCTTAAAAAAACCTGGTTTTCTCATTGGCCAGACATCACGTTACCTTGGGAATCCGCTCAGTATCCGAATTCAAACCCAGTTTTACCAGTCCCTCTATCGACGGCTTGCCTCATAGAGGGGCTGGTCACCAGTCTAGTAGATATCTATCATAGAACAATATAACGGTGCAGTTGTATTTTGTTTGTTGTATCAATACCATAATGCAAAATCAAAATCATGAGCCCTCTCGTCACTTTCTCGAGCGCAGGAGACGGTATTTGTTGGTGCGTTGATACATGTCATGCCACAGCCACCAACTAATTGCTTACATTCATCACGATGGCGAGGACCTCTCTCCAGCAAGGAACATTGCTGCACTCGACAGTGTGCATATATGGCTTATAATGTCTGCTCAAGAGTACGATAGTCATTCAATCAAAGTCCAATTTTGGTCCAACTAGAAACATCTGTAATCATAGTACAAAGCTGAAAAGTTCCTGTGAGTTCCTAAGAAGCCAATATCATTTGAACTTGTTCAGCAGCTTCGACCCGCCTGCAAAGAGACCACATCAACAATAGATGACAGAACGTTGTTCAGGAGTAAACTCACTCTGCGCAAGACCCTCCAGGTGTCTCCTCGCATCCCTCCCCGCGATGCCCTCCACAGTGTCTAGTGCGCGCCCCGCGAGATTGGACCTGCCCCCTCCACCATTGCCTGTCCACATCGGTGCCGGCTGGTTCGGGGCGTAATAGCTCTGAGACTGCGGGTGCGTAGGAGGTCCTTGTGAGAACAACCAGAGTCAGCAACGCGAGGGCAGCCGTGAACAGGAGATACACACTATTATGGTGCACTTGGGACGGAGGCGAGCTTGGGATTCCCCATTCAGGTGGAGGGTATGGTCGAGGAGAATGCGAACCACCAGGAGGTTGTGCGGGAGGAACTTGGTGTTGAAAGTAGTCTTGGGCAAGTGGATTTGATGCGGGATAGGTTTGGTAGGGATGTGGTGGCTTGTCTGTTGCTATGTAAGGTTCTTGAGGTACACCAGAAGTTGGAATTGTGTTCGGATATAATTGTTCTACGCGGAGGTAAGAGGTGGCGTGTGAATGCGTCTTAGCATCATGTCGATCGTATCCTGGTCCGCCTATAGCGGAAGGCCTACCCTGGGGTGAGGGTGAAGGGTGGGAATCGAGGGGTGGGGCAGGGGGATGATTGTACGGATCATAGTGAAGCTGTTGTTGACCAGGATATTGGGACCATGATGCAACAGGTACTTGTGAAGCCGGCGGGCGCGGAGAAATTGGCGGGATTGCGGGCGAAATACTGGGACGCCTTAGACTCGCCTCCACGGAAGGCATTTGCATGACCGAAGAAGAAATTTCCGATACATGAGATTCCTGTAGTGTTGAGACAACTTCTGACGGATGGTGTGATAATTTCTGTCGGGCGAGATCATCGGCCAAATATGCCACATTAGAAGATGCAGGTGGAGGAAGAGGGAAAGAAACTTGAGAGGATGGCCTGACAATGGAATGCGAGGAGCCTGGTTGCTGATAGAACTGATGGGGACGCATGTCCATATCCACCTTATCGGAGGAATATACCGGTCTTGCTGACATTGGAGCCGGTGGAGGGCGAGAACTCATGTTAATAACAGGAGGTCGACTGCCCGCTGATGGCGAGCTCGTGGTCAGCGATGGACTCCTGGCCGGAACAGGCGGCGGGGATACAAAAGAGGCTGAGACACTGGATGAATGGCCGAGAGTAGGCTTGGTGGCTTCAGGTGGGACTGGTCTGACGTTGGGTGTACTGCTTGTTCGAGGACTTTGCGTCGGTTGCTCATCTTCCAGCCTATATGGAGGTGGAGCCTCATCCACTGCTGCACCTCCTTCCTTTGTAGCCCAATCGTGATACGCTCGTTGAGCTTCCTTCCATCGCTCCGCCTCTTCCTCGTGAGCTGTTTTATCTTCATACCTGGGGCGTGTTGCCCAATAATCCTGTAACTCCTTGACAGGAAATGTCTCATGTATCATACGATCACCGCGTAATGATTCAGCGGCGAAACCAGTTATGCGCATATACCAGTCTGACGGGAGCGAATAGCCATCGGCATCGAGCGCTAGAAAGTTAAACTGTGGGTGAACAGGAAGTTGCTTTGAAGAAGAGACAACGGGCATGTATGCTGTTCCTTCGTCATATTCATCCCACATGGCCCCATAGATGATGCGCACCCCTGCGTGTCGAGCAGCATATATTTGCTTCCAGAGAAAGCGGCCCCCGTTGCGCTTTATGTCGTTGAGTCCCCATTGGCCGCCAGAGAGATTATAACCCTGTAGAACATAAATAATAATCAGTAGGACAATGATCATAGACGGGCGTTACTGAACTTACGCTGCCTCCAGGAAGTACCACAGGTATGTAATCTACTCTTTTTTTGCCTTCATCTCCTCTTTGCTTCAGAAAATCAAAGTCCTGTTTGACTTTTTCATTCCCCCAGCGCTCCGCATCTTCTTCATTTCCGTAACGTCCGATAGTCCAAGGGCTCAATGCATCAAACTCTTCTGTCCAGACTCGCAAGAAATCGGGGTTTGGGTCACTATCAGATGTCGATGTGCGCCAGTGTCCAGGTACACCTGCCATAAGATAAGCACCGCCTGGTGTGGAGGAACGAAAGAAATTAGTGATAGATCGTACGACTTCAGGGGAGTGGTTTCTTTCGTTGAATCCAAAACCTGAGGGGAAAGATGAACTAAATAATCAAAGTGATTTGGATCTAAACGCATACCCCACAGAGCAATGACCGGGCTGCCTTTTTCGCGAAGATAATTGGGGCTGTCTAGAATGCATTTATCACGCACAAGATGCATCCAATCTTGCTCGAGCACTCGCTGAATCTTGTCTGGGTGAACACCTGAGACATCATACCTAGATACGTAATGAATATCGATCAAACTGAGTTGACAAATATGCGCACATGATGGCAAATACCCTTCCCTCTGCTTCAGCAGCCTCTCGAACACGATCACCCACTTCATCTCTGATTTTCCTCATTGCTGTCCCCGCCTCTATGTCGCACTGGCCTGCAAATCGTTGCAAGAACGCGCCGTCGACACCGTGCAACGCCATCCAGTGAAAATGGCGCCTCACCGTCTTCGAGTGGCGCGAAGAAAATAGAAACATTTGTTCTCCGTCTGCGTTTTTGAGACCTGGGGCAGGGTACAGTTCGGATGGGGAGTAATCAGATACATCTGGCCATATATCTGTATTAGGGTGTCCACCGTCTGGGAGCGGTTTATCAAACCAGTGTAGCCACCCATGGTGGTTAGGATCCAAGGGTTCGCCATCTCCAGGACAGGTGAACCTGTAAAAGGAATGTTGAGTACGAGGGTCGCTATATCATAATGCGTCCCATCATCCGTCTGCGACTTTAGACCACTTGAGAGACGCTCAAAGGTGATTATGAAACCTGGACGGCCCACGAGCTTGTATCAAAGAAAGACTCAAACGCACCATCCTTGATATCCGACTAAAAATTTATCCTGTATTGTGTTTGGGTTTGCTCTGCGGTAAGGTTCAAGGTGATGAGTAACCGTGACGATGCCATTTGCACGTTAGTTAGTAGTGAAGGTAAAGTGAGCATACTTTTTGAGAACTCGTCCTTCCAACACTTTCCCCGACATGGTGTGAAACAAAGTAAGATGATGCTACGCAGCAGTACGCAGCTCCTAAGCCAGGCCTAGGGCCACATAAATGTCGCAGTTCCTGTAAGTATTTTAAGTTTGTGATATAATCATTCCGTAAAATAATTATTGAAATCTCACGTTTGTTGCTGTGCACCAACTTCTATCAGTGCTTTTTTAAGCTTCCAGCTACAGTCCCGGAGCACGCAACGCTGCCTTGATATGCTCAATATGAGTAGTCAGAGGGTAAAAGCTATTATTATTTCGAGTCATGAGACTCATGACATAATACCCAGCTAAATGTTGTCCTCTTATATGATATTGTCATCGAATCGATGGATGACTTTACCAGTGCCAAACACCATGGATAGCACTGCAGAAGACCTCGCTAGCTATCTCGTACAGCAACTCAAAGTGTACGTTTATTTTCTAGACTAATGCCACTTGATTTGATGGTCACTGGCAAGCCAGTAAAGTAGCTGGAGAGCGGCTCTTAGTTGCTATCGCAGGCGTCCCTGCGTCAGGCAAATCAACCCTGGCTGAGCTAGTGGTCGCCAAAGTCAACGCGCTTTTGGCTGCTGATAACGTCACGCATCCCACTTCTGCCATTATGGTTGCCTTGGATGGGTGGCACCTGACACGCGCACAACTAGATGCCATGTTGGATCCTAAACTTGCGCATGATCGTCGCGGTGCACACTGGACTTTCGACGGACCATCTTACGTCGAGTTTGCCAAGCTTTTGCGTCAACCGGCAACTGCTGTGATAACTGCTCCTTCTTTTGATCATGCCCTGAAAGATCCTACCCCTCACACTGTGTCGATATACCCTTCCCACCGCCTGGTTGTGATCGAGGGTTTATACTCCATGTTAAAGCACGAAATATGGGAGAAGGGCGCACAGCTAATGGACGAACGTTGGTGGATACATGTAGATCTGGAGGAAGCGAAGCGACGGTTAGTCAAGAGGCACGTCCTCACGGGCGTGGCTAAAGACATGGAAGAGGCAATATGGAGAGCTGAGCAGAATGATGAGCCAAGTAAACTCCATTATCTTCATAAAATGATATGAGGGATGCTAAAGCTTGGTCTCCTAGATGGGAAGTTTATTGCGGAAAACCTGTATGAACCTACAAGGATCATCAAGAGCTTGGACGACCCCAAATATACCCTTTGACCTACTGCAAAAAATAAAACCTCACTTCTCCGAATGCAATAAAATTCTAGGCTTCTACTAGGACTTTGTTCACTCGCCGATAAGCCCCCGAATAAGGACAGATAAATCACAATCGAGTTGTGGACTGTGCATCACGGTGATTTTGCAGAACGTCTACCGATGCATAGCTCCCTTTCACTCTAATTACAGTATTTCTGAATCTCCACGGTCGATCGGTCTACTACGAGGAACGCCGACATTCCTGCCTGAATCCCGTGTCTCCGTGGCTGTAAGCATCCATGACGATGGTCATATTCAGGGGCTGCGAAAGAATAACATTCATAGAGTTTTGGTGGTTTGAAATCGGTTTTCCGTTCCTGAGTTGCAGGGAACCTGCTATACCCAAGCTGATCCACACCATAATGAGCTCGAACTCAGTAGCGGAGTTAGATAGGTGCTCATGTTTGCAAGACATGTGCGGGTTACGTACCGTTGCTCACAGTGGGTAGAGCTTCGAGCACGATGCAGTGAGCCCTAATTGTTTTGCGCGACGTAAATGCCTCTTGCGGCAAATAAGACAAATGGTAATATACCGTGGCACTTATCGATGAGCTTCAAAATGGTCATCATACAGCATTTTCGTTATCTTTGATCACGGATATACTGACGATTGGAACGATATGCAATGAAAATACAAATCGCATGAGGGTGTGCGGGTGTTTGCCACCATTTACATAGCTTAGTCAGTACGGGTAGAGCCTTCGGACCTTGTCGTAAGTAGCGCTCAAATACTAGGTCGCACTTGCTTCTGTCTGCCAGAGGCAGGCACGTTGCCAGCCCCACCAGTCCGTCGCCAACGTCATAGAAAATGATCGTCCACGTAGGGAAGTCTCAGATCAGCAAGTACGAGTCGGCCGGCTCGATCAGGGTGAGTGTAGGAGACCATGCTAATACCGCTGATCAGGGTCTTGGTCAAATTGTTATTCAGGTGACAGTGAGCTTCACTTACGTGACATGTATCTGCGATATACAGAGCGAGGAAGAATTATGACACGCCAGTCGCCATTTGAGACCTTTCAGCACCGCGACAAGTGCGTCTCTGACTTGTCGCACGAAAAACATTGATCGCTCCGGGGAACAAACTGTGTCAAACATGCGCCTGCTAGACTGCAATAGACGACAGCATCGCCCACGCGATGCTTCAATATTACCGTAGAGGTGAGCAGCTCGACAGTCTTAATATTACGAACAAAGTCTTACTGGCGTGCTACACAATGTCTTTAGTGATATAAAAAAATGAGGATAACCTAAGACGAACGATTTGCTGATAACGTCACGTCTCCTGTAAATCATGCATACATTGCGAGGAAGCAAGAACTCGACGAAGATGCCATATGACCCTTCATCGACACCAAGTGGGCGCAGAGGCGGATGTGTGGGAGCCATAGGGGAAGGGGACGCTGCGATGTGCAGATGACCCTGCAGTAGGCTTCTACGAAGCGCTACAGCTGGAGTGTACGACCCCGATTTGGCGCGGGTTGCAATCCGAGAATTTTGATTATAGCGTGGGTCGCGACTGAAAATGTCTAATTGTACTCCTCTCCTCGAGCAGAAATTTCTCTTCGCTTTGTCTAATCACCAGCGCAGTCGCCACAAAGCGTACCCGAGGAACCTTGAAAGGGGGCTTGGGAAGATAAGACGAAGCGAACATCTTTCCAGGTAAATCTATCACCGCATAGTTTTGGGTTTGACGATGCGTACCAATAACCCACCATTTGGCATATGTGCATACAGCTATGTGCTTGCTGTACTTGATAGGTCTGCCACCAACCCATCACATCATGCATCATGATCGGGAGCTTCTGGAAAAGAGCGAACTGCGATATCAATATTGGGTTGTCTGCTTTGGTAGCGATAATGCCGCAAAACGTAAATCGGTATTCCTGTAAATCACATGAAAACATCACGCGGCCAGCCTGCAGTTGGCATGTTCGAAGATGTACCATATGATTGGAGGGAACACAGACGCCACGTTCACTGGTTTCATTAATGACTAAAAAAATCATTCAAGTCGAATGCATGACCGATAAATATTATAGGCATCTGAGGCGGCATGCTGCCTGCCTCTTGCTGAATGTCACAAGACTCAAGATACTATAATGTCTCCTACTTCCGAGGTACTGACATGATCAGTTAAACCGGCGCTAAAAACTCCGAGCGCTGGTAGGCTGCGCAAGGCACCTATGTAAATGCTCGTGGTGACCGGTTGACCGCTGGAGCTCGAACTGGCGAATAGCAACAACAGGATGGATTATCGTCAGGATAATACTTGATACAGGCACAAATCTCATAACAAGCTAACGTTACAGTACGTACTCGGAACAATCGTAATTTAGATGCATGCAGATGACCAGCATTTCAAAAACCCCTAACGGGCCAAAAAAAAAACAAGCAAATAGTGATGAGGCCAGATGTAAAGTTGGCGGGTACTAGGTGGTGTATCGGGAATAAATGCTGGGGCGGAACCAAAACCAAGGAAGTCCAAATAAGCCTGCAAGAACGTCAAGAAACCTCCCAGCATGAGCGAGAAAGTCAAGAATCCAGAGAAGAACACGGCAGATGGCAACATGATTAGACCATGACGAGTCTTCCCATAACGTACGTTCCTCCATTCACGAGGCCGACGTTCCCTACATCTTTGCCGCCGAACCCTACGGCTGGGCCCGGGAGGGTACCTTTCCACCCACATGGGTGGTATGGTGTGAGGCCAACAGTCTCATCCCATGAGTTGCGCTCCTCGACCCACTCGTTGGATACATCATCTTTGACTGCCGTAACAGGTGGGAGGGGGACGGTAGTCGCCTTTGTAGACTCTACGGGGAAAAGATTGAATGGAAGAAGGGAAGTCGGTATCCATTGCGACGGGGACGGAGCACGACGTCGCCTCTTCGCGGACGCCTTGGGCTGTTCTGATGGTGACGTAGCCGGTTCATCACGAGTACGCTTGTTTGGTCGTGGATCAGAATCTGATGATGCGGCAGCACTCGAGGCAGCGGACGGCGGCAGGACGGATGCGACTTCCTGTGACGTCCCAGCAGAGTCACTAGATGTCATCTGGCTCGTGCGATTCGCAGTGTTTACAGGCTTAAGAATGCACCGCTTAACGTGACGGTTAAGATTAGACGCAACGCCAAAACGACGGCCACAGGTGTCACACACGAATGCTACAATTATAATTCCAAGTTTTAGCGTCGCACAGCCGCAGCAATTTTGTTACATGCCTTTTTCTCCTGTGTGCACGAGTAAATGCTGCAAGGTAGAGACCTTTGACATGAGCTAGCTATTTATAGCGGCAGAGTAATATTGACCTTTCTCAACGTGGAGGGCCTATCAAAGGACTTCTCGCACATCCAGCAGGCATGCTTCTTCTCCCGTGGTCTTGGGCCTGAGCCTTCACTCTTGGTGTTGCGTGATGACGCTGACCTGGAAGAGCTTGCACATGCAGTGCGAATGGATTGTGTTATCTCTGCAGGGATGGTGGAAGGCCCCGGTAATGCCAGGGCGGGTGGGAGGGGCGGCGATGTTGAATGAGACGGAAGAACCATGTTGGACGAAGTTGGAAGATCAATACAGTAAGAGTGCGATGAAGAAGAAAAATGTGATGACGACGGGCTTTTATCGCATGCAGGGTATGGGTAGTGTAGTTGTTGCTGGTAGAATAAAGGCAGTGCGTCGGACCACTCACATGAGGTATGGCCGCCGGCGATGGTACGAAAGTTAGCTAAAGATGGGGGTATATCTAAAGATATAGGTGGTCCGGTGACCATGGCACGTAGGGCCGACGTTGTCGATGGGCCGCTATCTTGGAGAGAACATCTACCGCTCTGTATATCGTATGCGTCGTAGATGGATGATCTTTCTAAGAAGCCTGAGACCCAATCCGACGTGTTTGACTGGGAAAGAGATGGACCGAGTTGAGCGCTCTGTATATGGTGCTGCCGAAAATTTGGCTGCCGGAGTAGAGGGCTTGGAGAGTGTAACATGATGGCGTAGAGGTCAGGGGGCGGCTGGGTATGGACGAGGAGGACGAAGTCTGATGAAGTTCACGCCAATTCTGTGAGCAGGAAAGCTTATATATATAATTTGTTGGGTACATCCGTTGCAACCCTAAAGGTGCGAAGACATAAAGAAAACGAGGACCAAATCTATGAAGGCCCAGGCAACAAGCAGCTGTTTTACGGCAGAATTTAGCATTCAACCCCAGCGGCTCACACCGTTTTCTACAATCGTAATTAGGCGTGGACCAAGCAGCTGGCTGGCGTAGCTCATCTGAGAACTCCGATAGCTCATCTTGAACTCACCGTTTTCGCAGGAAGCCTCGGAGGCCCGCGTGTTGTTGAGGAAGACGACAGGCAAGCGCTGCGGGAAGGAAATTGTTGGATCAATATCATACTCTAATGGGTTGTCGGTCCGTGATAACAAAGGACTACTTCCCCCACTTGCACGCGTTGACTTGAGCAACAACATCTGAACTTCGACTTGATTCTCGGCGGAGCGGAAATACCACGCTCGGTGTGGCCTCGTTGTCTGAGTAGTACAATGATGTCGCACAGGCTTCCTTTTCTGTGTCACTTCGAAGCTGGGCACGCAGGTGGGAGATATGAGGAACGACGATCCCGGTGGATTGAGATGCAATTGAGGAAATGAAGCATTCCTCGTGTATGATGGAAATAGAAGAAGAGCTCGCTGGATATGCATGCTTGAGTCTTTATTCTCCTATACTTAGTTTAATAATTATTAGTCAGTAAAAATGACGCAGCCGCCGGTAGGAGGTGGGGGCACAGGAAATTCATTTCTGATTGCAGATAGCAACAAGATCAAGTTCCTTCATAGTTGAACTTCTTCAGGGCCCGAGGCTTAGGCGAAATCAATTACGTTTGTAGAGACTTGTTAATTTTCAAGGCTTTTGATAAACAATTACAAACAACGCTTCTTTCTGACCATGACAATAACAGCTGCACAAAAGACAGCTATAGAGGAAGTCGTTGAAATTATAGTTGCAACAACTCCAGCTCGAGGAAAACGTCAATTATCTGAATTGTTTATGGATCTCGTCGATAGATCAGAGTGGCCTGAATATTATGAGGTATTTCTAAATATTCCGCGGAAACCAAACGCTGGTCATACCCGAATCACATAGGTCATACCCGAACCCCGATGTATCAACGCCATCAAGTCAAGCGTTGAACGAAACAGATACAAGGACGCGCTCAACGCGTATACCGATCTGTCCCTCGTCTTTTGGAACGCGTTGTTCTACAATGAACCAGATAGTCAAATTGCTACTGATGCGCAGACTCTCAAGGTACGTTTTCCACTTCTTGTCCGCGGCGTAATTACCCTCAACACCAATTGGGCGTTCCGACCTTATCTATTCGCGTTCAGACTGTACTCGAAACTGAATGGCAGAAGAGAAGCATTCTTCCCGTGCCCCGACACTCGCCACCTCCCTCATCTGCTCAAAAGGTCCACGGAACGGGTCCCGCTGCACCGCCGCAGCCCTTTGTTATGCAGCCTTCTACTTCTACCACAACCAAACTAAGGACAACAGCCCCAACATCCGCTGTACCTCCAGCTTCCGAATCACAGACCGCCAAATCCACTCCTCTAAAGGGACCAGTGACTGCAGAAGAAAGGGTTGGAGATAGTGAGGCGATCGGCCGTCAGCTTGAGAAAACTCTCCCAAGATGGCAAGGCGTTGGTGAACTAGGGATGTCCGAGGTCAGCAAGGCGAGTATTCATGAATAGACTGCTCAACCGTGGTGATGTTTAATCCCCGTTTTTATACTTACATACTCGCTATGCCACAGGACCGACTGGTCGAAATTGTGCACAGTCCTCCTAAGACTCACACGCACGAGGACAATCGTGACCGGACCATGCTGACCGCGGCAGGGAATTTGACTGTTCCCCCAATTGTCGACAAGCTTCCCCCCGAAACGAGTAGGTTTTTTGTTATTTTTCTTCAAACCCGCTTACACGTTGTGTTAGCAAAACATTTCGATCGCTCTCCAGACACAAACGAGCTGTTCTGGTTTTCCGCTCCTCCAATGAATACCGCGCGAACACCAGCCCCACAGCATAGTCTGGCGTACTTGCATTTCTTGGCGACGAAACGCAATAAAGAACTCGGCGCGGACTCGGACGTCATTGATGTTGACAGCGAAGCTGCAACAGGTCTTTCAACTCGACAGCGCACAGTTGCGCCTCCAACAGTTACCGAATTTCTGCAAGCAGCCATAAATTCAGCATCTACCGAATACCTTTAGATTCATCTGTTCCCATCGGTATGATCACCTCAGTTGAGTTTTTTTTGGTCTGCCTGCCTCGTGCTCATTGGTTGTCATGTCATACAGACTTAATTGCTACTGAGAAGAATTTCATCCTTTTGATAGCTCTTCCAATGCTATTTTCCAACATTGTCCAACTTATTGGTCTAATTTATTCCGCATTTATTCCGCACTATTTAAGCACAAACTTGAGTCGGGAGGAACTCAAGCCATCTGTGTAATGTCTAGGTGAATTATACTGCAACACATACTGGAGTCAGGTGAAGTCAAGTTGGACGTAAGTCATATATCCACGCACCAAAATATCTTGGATGTCCTTAGTGTGAGACGTTGATACTGATAGGTTACCCGATTCTACCACTACCTTTACGACTACATCGCGATAGGTCATTAATGCAGTCTTGAATAAGTACATCCTCGTGCCGTTCAAATCCGCGGAGAGCGTAATATTGTCAGCATCGACAAGTGACCCAGAACAACTCCTAGGCTAAGTAATCGAGTGTGCTTCGCGAGCAGAAATCAAGGAGACGGTGCTCGACAAACAGTGATCTGGCAGCAGCTTGATATTATTCTTTGGTTCCAGACACGTTCATCGAAGACAGGCTCCAGCCATTACGTTCAGCATGACGACGTTTTAGATGACGACGAAGCAGCAAGACCGATCTGGGGGCGGAATCGGCCACAGATCAAAATTTTATTTACGGTGCGTCCCAAATTGTGATCCTACAGTATTCTTCCCAAGGATAGTACTCCCCATTCAACGTTCAACCTTGGGGGACCTCAAGCACTTGGATCTTCAGAGCGATCATTTTTACCTTCGACCTCCCTCCCAATCCCTTTCCATCTTCCTTTCTGTAGCTTCGAGGCTGGAAGGCAAGTCAAAAGATTCCCCTCCGCAAACTACGATATAACGGCGGCCTCCCCAGTCTACAACAAGACAAAGTTCTTCCCACCGCGAAGTTTTCTTTGTCGCCATACTGCCCGGTCGTACCGTTACGTGTACATATGTATTAAGAACTCGCTCGACGGACTTTTGGACAATATGTACGTAGTATGTAATGGATCTAGTGTTCCCCCCCTACATAAAGCAGACCAAATAGAAGGAAACGGCAGTCATTTATTTCTTCTTTATTATGGGAATAATTCCCAGCGACTGGCCAGGCCTCGTGCCGCGTATATACGCGCTGTTTTTGATTTTTAAATTTCCTACGGAATACATTATTACGAGTGGCACGTCCAATTGCGCACTTGACTCGTTTCCTCTTGTAATTGGTATCTGAATCTAGAGGTAATTTCCTGATCGCGGCTTCTCCTTGCGGCATGCCCGAGACCCAGGTCTAAGCTCATTACGGAGGCGTGGCTCCTTGTATGCGAATATTCGAAACTTGCAGGAGAAGCTAGCGGACTAATTCTACTGTTCATGATTATGCGGGCTCCAGAACTTTGCGGCTTTTCTATTTCTCGAAGAGGATCCCTGTTTTTTTTTTACCGCTAGCTAACCAGGTATAAATATCAATCGGTGTGACAATCTTTCCAAGACATGATCCTAATATGGGGGCTCGCTGATCAAGTCCTCGTGCCACTTGCAAGCTCGAGATCTTGAGATATGACAAACCCACCGAAAGGGCATCATCGCCTTCGGTCGATTCATCCTGTAAACGTTCGCAACTTGGGTGCACTGGCTCATATACTTCTGATCTTCAAGTTGGCGCCTTCACATCCGGGGAATTAAAGACTGGAAATAGTGGAGTAGAGTGGAATATGAAATTTGAATTATAGGTCTAGAAGAGAACGAAAGAATGCCAGAAGCATGTCTACATCTCATGGCCAATCAAAATATTTTATTTAAATAACGACGGAAGTTTATATCTCGCAATATGATGGGAACGACGGGGTATACGAAGCTGAGATACAGAGAAACTCCGTGAGCCCGCTTTGCCTGTATTTTGTGCGTCATACCAAGATGTGCAAGATTGCGAGAAGACGGCACTAGCACATAAAAAGTCCACGTCAGTGCATCCGACAGTCCAAGGCCGGAAACACCTTGCTTAAACCATTGGCATGGTATTGGAGTGTTGCCTGCTGTGTGTAGTGTGGAGAGACGTAGTAACCGTCCGCGGCGGAGGTGTGAATGAACCTCGCAGAGAGGGGTAAGCCGTCTGGGGCTGTGGAGAGTACACGGTCCCATATTGCAACGAAGACGTGGATTGCCCATACAACACAGGAGAGCCGAACGACGACTGAGAAAAGTTGGATGGATCGGGCGGAAAACGATTGGGTGTCATGCGAGTTGCCGCGCCGTCGCCTCTGTTTACGAATGGCTGCTGGTTGACGACAGAGGCGTAAACTCCTTTCCTGTACATGCGGCGTCTGTACAGTAGATAGGCTCCGACGGCAAAAAGTGAGAGAGCAGTCAAGGTTCCGAGGGTGCCACCAACTATCGCACCCACGTCTGTTGATTTCGAGCTTGAACTACTAGACGACGAGCTCGAGCTTGAATTGGCTGGAGTGATGCTAGAAGAGTCTGGACCAAATAAACAGCAGTGATAAAGAGATGCAGCCATAGAATCAACCTGACATACTCTTTTGATAAGTGGCGTTCGCTTCTGGTGTATTGAACATCTCGTATGTCCATGTTGACGCTAAAAAAACTCATCAATTGGTACCATGCCTTCGGAAGACAGAACAAACTCACGATTAGTAGTAGCCCAATAAGGTATGGACGCATCTCCAGCAAGTACATATCCAGAAGGGAAATATCTGTAAGATATTGTAAGCGCGGCTCAACAAATGAAATTTGAACGGACTCCTGTGCCCATGATTGGTTCGTGGCGCATCCGATGCCCACTGAGGCCAACTACTTGATCGTTAATACTTCCCGAGGAATACAAGACGGATGACTTGCCTCCAGACAGCACTATTATTAACTTTTTGGCATATAGTGCAGGCCATCATGAGATTATAGGACGACCAAGAACTGCTCTAATATCAGAACGATCGAAAATACAGTTGTCACCCCCACCTACCAGTAGCAAGGATTGGCAGTCGAAGAATTTGGTAATGAGTACGAATAGCCGCTGGTTAGGACTGGCTGGTTGTAGTCTTGGGCGTGCACATGAGTTTACACCCGAGAAACAAGGGAAATTCACATACTGTTCCCAGTGCACGCACCCTCTACATAAGCGACCGTAAGACAAGGCGAGTAGCCCCGACTGTCGTCCATCCATGAGTATCCATCGATGCAGGTGGCAGGTGAGACGATGTTGCGCCTGGCTGGCTGCACTCGTACAGCCATAGTAGTCGAAACACTTGAAATCACAGACCGGAAAGATAGAGATTTAAGGATGTGACCGTAGTGTGGGCTCAGAGATGCACTGCCAAAGGGTCAGGGATGTGGGCAAGCGTGCGGGTTGTCCTAATGAGTGCAAGCATGTTCTTATCACCACGTTCCGACGCAGCATATCTGATGACCTTGATGGAATCATGGCATAAGTACACCGCAAGATCTGACTAGGTCCAATATATGTTACGAACTGAAGCCTGATGAATATTTGAATCACCGATTGGCAAGCCCGGAGTTGGTATGAAATTTTGTCAAAAAGTAATACTAATACAGAATAGTATAAACAAGTTCAAATTTGTCAAGGTCAACTTTCAAACAAGTCTACGACTAATTCCATGTCATCAACCATATTCGCCTTGTCTTCAGAAATGGTATCTGAATCAGAACCGTTTCAGATTGCATGTTCGCCGAGCGCTTATGCGGCTACAATGCGGCTGTAAGTACTTTCTTATTTACCCATAGCGATACCGCTGTAAGAGAAGAACGAAATAGAGTAAGAGATGCAAGTGGCGAGCTAAGTGAGTGAAGTTCGTCCTTGTAGTTCTGTAAGAGTCGGGGCTCACAACCTGATGAAAGCGGAATTAAGAAAGAAAGCCCAGCATTGTTGAGAGAACCGCTATGACATTTTAGTACCTAAAAGACAAAGCTAGAAATGAAGTAGTGTGAGTAAGAGACAGCGTGCAAGGAGACGTGAACTATACCTTAGCGTTATTGACAGAACCGCTGATCAGAGGTGTAAACAAAGTAATATGAGATTATAAGCTATGCTGAAGAGTCCGTGATGACAAACGAAAGAAAAGGAATACTGTCGATGTTACGTTGAACGTTTAACATGAGGTACCGAATGCGGGCGCCTCTGATATTTCAAGTATAAGGAACTTGAAAGATACACCTTAGTGTTAGACCATTGGTACGGCGTCAGAACGTTGGCCGTTACCAGTATGTGTAGTGTAGACGGAGAGATCCATCCGTGGAAGGGGCAAGGATGAGCCGTGTGGAGATAGGTATGCAGTCTGATACTGCTGGGACGGAGATACTGACTGCCCATACATGGCAAGAGGGCCCGACACTGATGGAGCGAGATCGGATGTATCGGAGGGGATGCGGTTATGTGACGATGGTATAAAGGTCGTCCCTTGTTGGTTGATAGCCAAAGCATAACCTCCTTTCCTGTATACGTGGCGTCTGTACAATATATAGGTAGCAATGACAAGAAAAGAGAGTGCGGCTGCGCCTCCGATGGTACCGCCAACTATCGCGCCCACGTCAGTTGATTTTGAGCTTGAACTGCTAGATGATGGGCTTGAACCAGAACCGCTAGATAATGATGAGGCGCTCGGGGTGATGCTCGAGGAATCTAGACCAGATCAACAACAGTGATGGAGAAATAGAATCAACCTAACATACTCTTTTGATAGGTAGCAGTTTGCATCTTGGATATTGAATATCTCGTATGTCCATGTTGACGCTAAAAACTCATCAGTTGGTACCATGCGTTCGCAGAGACAGAATTAACTCACGATTAGTAGTAGCCCAATAAGGTATGGACGCATCTCCAGCAAGTACATATCCAGAAGGGAAATATCTGTAAGATATCGTAAGCGGAGCTCAACAAAAATGAAACTTGAACGAACTCCTGTGCCCATGATTGGTTCGTGGCGCATCCCGATGCCCACTGAGGCCAACTACTTGATCGTTAATACTTCCCAAGGAGTACAAGACGGATGACTTGCCTCCAGACAGCACTATTATTAACTTCTTGGCATAGAGTGCAGGCCATCATAAGATTATAGGACGACCAAGAACTGCTCTAATATCATAACGATCGAAAACACAGTCGCCACCTCCACCTACCAGTAGCAAGGATTGGCAGTCGAAGAATTTGGTAATGAGTACGAATAGCCGCTGGTTAGGACTGGCTGGTTGTAGTCTTGGGCGTGCACATGAGTTTACACCCGAGAAACAAGGGAAATTCACATACCGTTCCCAGTGTACGCACCCTCTACATAAGCGACCGTAAGACAAGGCGAATTGCCCTGACTGTCGTCCATCCATGAGTATCCGCTCATGCAGGTGGCAGATGAGACGATACTGCGCTTGACTGGATGAACTTGTACGGCCAGGACAATCGAGCTACTTGAAATCACAGACATAACAAGATAGAAACCTGAGGATGCGACCATGGTGTGGGCTCAGATGGACTGGAAGAGGGCCAGAGATGTGGACAAGTGGCATACGGGCTATCCGAATGAGTACAAGCATGCTCTTATCTCCAGGTTCCAGCGCTCGGAAGAAGCATATACCGCATACCTTCTGATGATGGTCTTGATAGAATCATGGCATACACCGAAAGATCTTGCTTAATGAATCACCCGCTAGCTGCGCTGAATATTCGCGTCTGTATCACGTGAGATTGGGATATGAGTATGGTGCCAAACAAGTTCAAATTTGACGCCAACTTTCAGACCACTGCCTACGATGCGTACGTCGTCGACAAGATAACGAGTAATCGTAAGTCCGTTATATAATTAGGTCTTATGACTGGTACTACTAGACATATTCAAGTTGCTTCGACTTGTCTTCTCTCGATCCGAACCCTTTCAGATTGCGAATATTAATTCAACCCCCTGTGCGGCTACAATGCGGGCAGTGGGTGTCCCATCGCCGCCATCCACCAACTCCGAAGGAGCAATAGAAGCATGCTAAGTAACTTCAATAAGAACATTGTTATTTTATTAACAACGGCATCATCATCAAAACATCATAAGACGGCGGGAACGACGGCGCAAAGTGCTGATAGAATACGGGGTAGAAAATTCTCTGATCCCCGTCGTTGGCTTGTCATAGAATATTTTCGAAAAAGATTGATCAGGAGATAATAGTATGAGGTACCGAATGCGGGCGCGTCAAGTATAAAAACTTGTAAGATGCACCTTACTGTTAAACCATTGGTATGACATCACCAGGTCGGCCGTTGCTAGAATGTGTAGTGTAGACGGTCATATCTGTCCGTGGAATAGGCGAATATGAGCCTTGTAGAGATGGGTATGCTGTCTGAGGTTGTGGAGAATATGAAGTCTCATATTGCTGCGAGGAAGATACGGCGGGCTGCCCATACAGCCCAAGAGAACCTGACATTGATGCAGAAAAGTTGGATGTATCGGAGGGGATACGGTTGTGTGTGCCTGACTGTGGTATAAAGGTCGTCCCTTGTTGGTTGATAACAGAGGCATTCCTGTATACGTGGCGTCTGTACAGTATATAGGCGGCAATGACGAGAAAAAGGAGTGCAGCTGCGCCTCCGACGGTGCCACCAACTATCGCACCCACATCAGTTGACTTCGAGCTTGAACTTGAACTGCTGGAAGATGGGCTTGAACCTGAACCGCTATATGACGATGAGACGCCCGGGGTGATGCTAGAATTATCTGGACCAGATCAACAACAGTGATGGAGTGATAAAATGAACCTAGCATACTATTTTGATAGGTAGTGTTCGCATTTAGGATATTGAACGTCTCGTATGTCCAGTTTGCCGCTAAAAAAAACTCATCAGTTGGTACCATGCGTTTGCAGAGACATAGTTAACTCACGATTAGTAGTAGCCCAATAAGGTATGGACGCATCTCCAGTAAGCAAATATCCAGAAGGGAAATATCTGTAAGATATTTATGAGCGCAGCTCAACAAAAATGAAACTTGAACGAACTCTTGAGTCCATGATTGGTTCGTGGTGCATCCGATGCCCACTGAGGCCAACTACTTGATCGTTAATACTTCCCAAGGAATACAAGACGGATGACTTGCCTCCAGACAGCAGTATCATTAACTTCTTGGCATAGAGTGCAGGCCATCATGAGATTATAAGACGACCAAGAACTGCTCTGATATCAGAACGATCGAAAATGCAGTCGTCACCCCCACCTACCAGTAACAAGGATTGGCAGTCGAAGAATTTGGTAACGAGTACGAGTAGCCGCTTTGCAGGACTGGCTGGTTGTAGTCTTGAGCGTGCACATGAGTTTACACCCGAGAAACAAGGGAAATCCACATACTGTTCCCAGTGCACGCGCCCTCTACATAAGCGACAGTAGTACAAGGCGAGTAGTTACGACTGTCATCCATCCATGAGTATCCATCAGTGCAGTTGGCAGCTGAGACGACATTGCGCTTGACTGGATGAACTTGTACGGCAAGGAATAGTCGAAATATGAGAAATTATGGGCAGAAAACGATAGAAACACAAGGACACCATGGTGAATGAGCCACACGCTGGGATGCACTAGGGGGATGTGGGCAACCAATACCAATCATGCGGAGCGAGGAACAAGAATGTCAGGCTTATCGTAACGTTACTTATCAGAGTTCTCGTCTGGTGACCCTGAGCTGAGAACAGAAATATCTGAGCGCGGACCGGACATGATGTGTGAATCAAATGAGCGCTGAATTGGTTGTGGACAAGCTTGAAGTTCATCGATCTTTCCAGTGTACTACACGTGGGAATTTTCAAACAACTAGTTGACTTCGCTGTATGCTTCAAGCTCACCGGCCAGCAACTCGACGACGGAGTACTGATTACGGGAAATGACTTTGGAGATGGGGCCATCTGGAAGCCTCATCCGAATTCGTTTCAGGCTGTGTCACAACAACGCGCACGGCCTCAGTACTCAGTTGCTAGTACTGTAATGTACATGCGGCTATGTCATTACTAACCGGCTACCCTCCATCTGTCAACTTACCTGACCCTTTTGACGCCAAGGAGTCAGGTCCATCTTCGAAGTTCGGTAGCAGTCTTCAAACTGCCCCAGTTCGTAAAAACGGAGATATTCCTGGTTTACCCATTCCTATCATGGTCATTCGCATTATTACCAACTTGGTCCACGCCGCACGGAGCTTCATGCCGAGAAGTGATAGTGGGCGCACCTGCTATTCAAGACCTATGACCCGCGTTTAGCCGTGCAACATCTCCCAGCCGCTTCACCTGTCACCTCGCAGCCAAATTGTCACCCTCCGTCCGCTGTCACTACTTCTCTCTCGGTTACATTCACTGCCGTCAGCTGTCGACTTGCAGGTCGGTACTTCATTTCTATCTCAGTTGCGTTTCTAGTCCTGTAACATCCTTCACACAGCTTCTTCATCACTTGAAGCTCTCTCAATCTTGTCAATAGCGAATCGAGCCAAAATGTCATCATGTCCATCTTGGTCCGTGAACACTGGGGGGCAATCGCCATGTGATATAGCGGTAGTGGTGTACAGTTCGTGTCCGAATGTTACGACCAGTAAGCCCCTTCCTATTACTCTTTGTGATACGCCTGAGTTGCTTCAGATAATACCATCTCTCCTTCCTCTTCCGATAATTCCTTCGTTCCTGTTAGCTCAAATGCGACTTTATGCACTTGGTGAGTCACATTCGTGTAAATTCGGTGTCATTTTTTAAAAACGAGAATGGGCACTATAAACAGTTCCTGGGCAAGCTACAACTTGATAAGTGCCTGTATGTTTTGTGCCACGGGATCGCCCTCTTTAGTGAGGTTAGTTTCTTAAATCCACTCTCTGTTCGCTTTAGCAAACTTGGCATAGCTGGGATACATGGATAACGAATTGTAATGCAAACACGTTAACAACAACGTGAGTTTGTATACGTTTGGTCTCTACTGGTCTAGTTTTTTATGTCTCTCAAAGATACTTTCCTTGGGATGAGGGAATAAGGCTCCCTTCTAACGCGTCAATAATACCTTATTATGCGAGCTACGATCGTAAGTTCTGATAGCAGGACCGTTAGCTCCCTTATCACGAATGATCTTACAGCTACTAACTACTCCAACGGGACATTTGTCGAGTCCACTGCCAACGATTATAGCGATACGGGTAAGCTCAATCAACCATGTCAGTCACATGCGCACTAACTTTCATTAGGAATCGGCAACTTGAATGGATCACCCATTAGCAACCCTTCCTCTTCGAGCTCACCTTCCAGTTCTTCGTCTTCAGCAACTCCTATTGGTTCGATTGTTGGAGGTGTTGTTGGGGGAACGGTTCTGCTGCTTCTATTATGCGGCTTTTTCTTCTTCATTATTTGTCGGAAACGCAGAAGAGCAGCGCAATTTCCGCACAAAATGACACTGCCCACATTGAACGGTTCGCACTTCGCTGTGGCGACCAAAGACTCGACGATTCACACACCCCTTGCACCATCAGGATACCCTCAAACGTCAGCTGCGATGTCTACATCTTCTTACGCTATTCAATCCAATAATATCCCAACGGTCCTTCAGTAACGAGCCTCCATTCGCTCCACATCGCTTCACCCACCTCCACTGTTCGTCCTATGCTTGTCTCGCCTTTGGCGCCTCCTATCACCCCTGTATTGTCACCTGTTGGCGATGCAGCTGATGTAATCACACCATTCCTTGCCACTCAACCATCACGACCAAGCACCCCAGACAGAAAGAACGCCAGAAGTCACGGTGAACCTGCACAAGAGCGTGCCATGTCACCGCAATCTCAACGATCACGCATGAACCCACCCCCTTATACCCCATCATCCCCCACGTCCTCAAGACATTCCCGCACTGGGTCCAACGCTTCCAGGAGGCTTTCTGTCATGAGGCACTTCAGGCGGGAAGGTGGCCCAGGGGACACGAGCATCCAGTCAGCCATGGGTCAGAGGAGGACGCACGCCCCGAGAATGCATTCTTCAACAAGTGCTGAGAGCGCTAGAAGTGACTCAACCGCCGCAAGTGCGAGTGACAATGGGCGGAATGTAAAGACTACCCTTGAACGCACTACAACGACAGCTGCTTCAAGTTCACGTCGGCCTGTTGTGTAGAGAATATATTTGTGTCTCTTCTTGGATCTTCCATCGGGTATAGACAATACATGCGGTATCGAACTGTGATCGTATATGTTTCGTCTATGTAGTAATGGAGTTTCTGTTCAACGGATGGTGCAGTGGGTATTCGAGTTGCAAGAAATGGTGGCACAATAGTTTGCATATATGCGGTAGGGTTATAAACCATTTTCTCAAGCTCAGAGGATAGGGGGAAGTGCAATCAGGTCCAGCACATATTCAATAACATCCTTCTTCTCTTCTTGACGCTTAATAACATCAGTCTCCACAGAGTCCTGTGTGATAACTTTATACACAAAAACTGTCTTGTCTTGGCCAAAGCGGTGACACCGAGAAATGGCCTGTACCTAAGTCGCTGGCCTTCTACATCAACGGCAATGCATTCCGCTTTAACCGCTCACCTCTTTGCAACTGTTCCACCACGGGTTAACGAGAATAACATGATTTGCGACAGTAATGTTGAGTCCGACACCACCAGCGTTAATGGACATTAGGAGCACTTTCATGCGGGCATTGTCCGCAAAAGAATCGAGGACTTCCATGCGTTGTTTGGTCGAGAGTTCGCCGTGAACTAACAATAGACATAGTTTCAAACGCCAACTCGCATAAAATGGACATATCATACGAACATTGGCCCACGCCTATTTTCAGTTTCTTGATCTGGACCTCCAGCAGATCCATCGTGTCCCTAAAGCAGCACTGGGCAGGCAGACATGAGGCGAGTCTAAGAAAATGGCAGAACGACATACAAAAACCAACACCTTCTGGCCTTCTGGTACCCCTGTGATGATATCTGTCACCGCGCGGATTTTACTTGAGACATACGCATGTCCAAACAGCCGAGCGAATGGCTGAAGGTTTGATGGGAGAACTTCCGGATCTGGACCGAGTCCACGTCCGTACATGTCCACTGCACCTGAAGTTATATTAGCATCCAGACCTTGCTCCTCGATTATCTGTCCCAAGACGCCCATGAGTAGCAATGGGTGATCGCATGCTAGGAGAAAGAACTATAAGAATAATCTGCATACCGTATACGTAAACAGATCTATTACCTTGCCTGGCTCTCAGCCACCCGATATCGAAATCTCTGATGCTGGAACGAGCCCAATCGTGTATCATTTTCTCCCCTTGTGTTTGGCACACATGAACAGTCTTGATTTCTAGATTCGGAAGTTGAATTACATCCATCTTTCTCCTGTATCGCGCACAATCCGCAAAAAGATCCTATAAGAGGTTCATTTCAATAACTGCGCATAGCGGAACAACAATAAGAACATACCGCAACTGCATGTGCGGAAACCTTGGAGAAGTATCCACATTTACCGCGCACAGCGAAAGCGGTGCTTTCGGCAGCCGGACCCCGTTCATTGGTGATGTCAAGAAATCTGAGCTGGGGTTGGACATCGGATAGCTTGTTCTATACAAGCCATTGTTGAGACTTGGTTACTCGATGGGCGTATTCAAATGGCTACAAACTCACTACGAACGGGGTGCCAGTAAGACAAAGCCCTTGAAGCTTTTGTAAAGCCATGCATGCCTTGTACCAAGCACCTAAACCCACAATCCTATGCGATTCATCTGCAACATTTTGTACTCAGTTAAGGCGGTCGGCACTTCAGTGAACATGCTACCTAAAATGACACGGGACCAGCGTGCCAAAAAAACTGGATCCTTGGGATCCTTGCTCATTCGACGTTCTATTCGCTGATACGTGGTGATCTACGCAGGGTATTAGGTAGCACCGGGTAATTTCTTGGAAGTACTTGCGATAACATCTGCGTCCGTGAGAGCGTCTACACCTATATTGACGTGGATTTTAGAATGCGCGGGCAGGTCTGGCGATCTACCTACTCATGTGCCCGTCATGAACTTTCGCTGTTAGCCCGCCACCAAATTTCCCAATTTCGCGCATCCACTGTTCGCGGAGAGATACACTAGGGACAACAACCCTTTATCGCAGTGTCAACGAGGCAACAGTAAGAAGAGAAGATCGGGTTTACAGTGTTGTCTTCGGTCGTTTAGGGGGAGCTTTCACGGGTACACTAGTCCTAAAAGGAAGCTCAGGCGATTTCTCGAGATCTGCTGCTTTCGTCTCTTGGAGCGTCGTCTTTATCAACGCGATGGAAGTTACGGTCTTTCCAAGACTGAGTTTGAATGAGTAATTAGAGGCTCATTCATGCGCGTTGCACGCACCCCATCTCGTGTGCGAGTATTGAGCCTCCTTGTCCTGCTTTCTCGCGGGCGAGTAACCACTCGAGATCCATCGCTTGATGCTTGAAAAGGGTGAACGATGAGCCCAGAACGGAACCACCAATCTTGTTGTTTGCTGCATTGCTAGACTTTGGTTTTTTCTAAAGCTTTTTAAACTGACAAAAGTTCAAGCTTTGGTGCCACTCACAGGCGTCGCAAGTACAAATTCACGGGAAATGTTTGCACCAATAGGTGGGGTTACTACTTCGTGTTTCAGATTTTGTGGGGCGTTGGCAAGTCGAACGGATTTTGATGCCTTCGAGGCTGAAGATGGCGTCGCATTAGTGGCGTAGCGTTGAGACTGAAATTGACACTATTTAGAATGCCTTAAAGCGATGTTAAAGTGATGCTTGCCTCTTTTTGACCACCATCATTTTCCAATGATGCAAGAAACAACTGAAAGGCGGACATGTCTTTTGAATTTGAAACAGAGATTAGGAGCACACAATCTCTCGCACCTCTTCGTAACCCTTTTGAGTGATAGGCCTAGGCGAACCCAGATAAGCCTTCAGGTCGTGTGATACTCCTTCGCTTTATTGTTTGAAGTTAACATCTCGTAATAAGTTTTCGCGACAACCACTGTCAATTGTTTCCGCCTGGGCGAAAGACACATGGACAAGTCAGCATGATCGATGGGTGCATTGGTACACACCCCTTGAAATCAGAATAATGAGAACAAAGACTCTTTGATATCGTCATGAAGACCATAGAAACCACAGTGTTCATTGTAATCACCGCACTTACGGTATAGTACCACTTACAGCCTGAAGGAGCTGAAAAGGGTAGCAAGTCACCAATGAGACCGAACTTACTTACATGAATAAGCATTCCAGCATAAAGAGAGTTGTCATGACGTCAATGGTAATGTTTTGGTGGCCTGCATACTATCCGAAACAATTACATGAATCATTCCAAGGAGGCATCCTGAAATCTGCTATCAACGTTTTCCGGGAGCACCACCTTCCGAATGGTTCGAGCAAACAGAAAATTCTGGCAACTTACCAATATTTAGAACACTGACATGCCGCATCAGAGTTCAACATTTATACTAGTATGGGAGCATCGTAACACGGCGATCGTCATCTAGCGTAGCGGTATGATCAAGTTGAAGTTCCAAGAATTTGTGAAGCGCTGCTTACATAATCTAATCGGCTAACGACGAGCGGCTATCGCCGAGAGTATGTTTGCTTCATTCAACGGAGACGCTAACAACGAGGATCACGAGGCGATGAAACATTACCTTGTGTTACTAGTAAGTGGAATACAATTACTTGCTGAAGAATTATTGGCTAAAATAAATAAACCTTCCACCAGAATAAAGGATTATCCTTCTCTTCGAACTTCCGTTGTGCATAAATAAAGCCAACTGAAGTAAATGTCAACCTCTTTCTCAGACTTTCTGAGGGGCCGGTCTTCTATATGTATCTTGACTGCCAAGTTCCAACTCGAAGGCAGAACGTTTGACAGGTGAGACAGGGTCGGGGGTACTAGTAACGGGAGTACAAGGTGTGCAGCGGCTGTACAACAGGTGGCTGGCCATGGTAGAGAGCACCCGAAGGTGCAGCTATAGCACTGCTCTGTCAAGCTTACTCGTGTAGGAAGTTCGTCGTTGTGAACCCATCAAGTTTCTTACCAGAGAAGCTGATAAGGGGAGGAATCATCCACCCAGTCACCATGACACCTGCCAATGGCGAGCAAGAGTATCGTCCTTGCCAGCACCTGCTGCCGTGCGCATGTGGGCTCGGTTCCCACATCCTCGTGAACGCAGATGCCCTCACGTACCTGGATGCCTGCGTTGACGCGGATGCCTGTACTGATGTACTGCTAGATGTTTGCATCGACGCGTATGCTTGCATCGACGCGTATGCTTGCATCGACGCGTATGCTTGCATCGACGCGGATGTCTGTATTGACACACTGGAGATGTCCGCACTTACGCTCATGCGGATACCTTACTATTTCTGTTACTCGCTGTATTCTCATCCAGCCTCATCTCGATCCGTCGCTTTGCGGCTCTTCAAGGGTCACTTCGCTGCATTGCATTCACTGATGATGTGGGAATCGCAGCACACCTTGGCTCATTTTTGCTCAGGTTGAGGTCACTATCGGGGCGAGGCCGACCCTACGGGCCTTGCACTCAAACAAATTAGCTTACGATCAACAACTGCCTACAAAGTATAGCCTAGAGCCCCTTTCCACGGTAGATATTAGATAACGATTAATAATATTAAAATATTAAAATATAACCTATAATGTGGACATGAACTACTGCCGCCAGCCTCTGGCACGAATCTCAGACCCTCTATCACTGTAATCTTCTGCCTATGTCTGTCTGATTTTGGATCAACTGAAAGTCCATGTTAAACTGAAATGTCGAGTTTTATATCGTTGTTCAACACTTCCAGGCATCCAGTGACTATGAATCCTCGCGACAGACCATCAGATCCTCTTTCACAACTCCGCTACGCCCTCGAAACAATGCCAAGTTCACGAAAGTATATATTCTCTCCTGCAACCCGTGCAGAGGTTCTATCAGAGCTTTACGATGCATTTTGGGGACCGTATTCACATCTCTTCCTCCCGTTATCCAATTCCAGCCTCCCCATGCACGCTACTCTCAGTAGCGTTCAAGCAGATCTGGGGTTTGCTGGTGCCGGTTCAGAGGATCCGATCATTCCTGGAAGGCCGTGTGGCCATATCTTCAGCAAGGGAGAGAGTTGTTTTCGTTGCAAGTCAGTAACCCGTTTGCTATCCTGCCAATCATTCACAATACTCCTTCAGAGACTGCGCCCTCGATGATAGTTGCGTTCTCTGTAGTCGCTGTTTTCATTCCAGTGATCATTCAGATCATAATGTCAGCTTCTTCGTTGCTCAACAAGCCGGGGGCTGTTGCGATTGCGGAGACATCGAGGCCTGGCGTAAACCTATCTCATGTCCTTTTCACCCACCTGCTCCCCATGTCCAAGCGCAGATTGAACAGTCCTTGAACGCAGTTGATGCCACTCCTCGAGCCTCACAGCGTTCTATATCTGAGGAGATTCCATTCGTTGAGGATTATCCATATAGAGTCGCTATCCCGCCCGACCTACGTGATCTCATGAGTCGCACTATTGCATATGCACTCGACTTCATCCTTGACACCCTGGACTACTCCCCGGATGAAGCGACAGTGCCTTCGCATGAGGCTGACCTACGATTGCAGCCCTCAGCAGATCCTATGCAAAAAGACCAATACGCCATCATCATTTGGAACGACGACAAGCACTCATTTGATGAGGTCATCAAGCTTATATCCGAGACCACTGGCCATGATAGGAAGACGGCAAGCATCATGGCGTACTCTATTGACGATGTGGGCCGGGAAATAATCGACATCAACGGTGACGTCCCCCGGCTCCTTGAAGCAGCACATTTGATGACAAAAATTGAACTCGGTGTCACGATCCGTCGTGCATATGATACCTTTCGCGAGCAGGTTGCTTGTGTCATCATTGAGTGGCTGCTTGATCTCACTCGAAGCCGGCTGGGGGCGGATACCTTGATAATCAAAGAAATCATCGCTGCCGAGCTGTTGTCGCCGAGACGGCGGGAGAACACGTTCTTCACTCCTGGTCCCCAAGTCCCAAATCTTGCTGCAGATCTGGCGCGTCCATGCCGTATTGATTGGTTATTCGTCTACCATACTCGACTGTGGAAGAAGCCCCGGATACATTTGAAAGCAATTTATGCGTCGATCTTGATACTCTCGCATCCCCATAAAATTGCCATTGGTATGCTACAGCGTTGCTCATTGTCATAAGCACATTTTGACGTCTTGCAGCGTCCCACTTTGCCAGCACCTACCATCGTGTCGCTGACGCTTATCTTCTGGTTGACCGTGAAGCAGAAACATCCATAAAGTATTTCGCCCTCCAACTTTTCACTGCACCATCCGTTGCCCTGCACATCGTTTCTCAACACGATCTCATGACACGTCTGCTCGACATCATTGTCAACTTCTTCACCAATCACATTGCGGACAAGCACATCCTCACCACGGCTCCTACCCAACAAGACATAGACGTTGAAAGCCCCCCATTCAGAAGCAAACGCTTCATGCCCGTCTTCAGTGATCTCCGGTATCTCTGTCACAACCGGCCTGTCCAACAGCTCATCGCTCGTAACCCAGCCTTCATACGCAAGTTTGTCAAGGTATGCCAGGTCTTCATGTGTATCAACCCAAACAAGCGCGTTGCCTCGAGTCACGTCGAGTATGAGACGGATGTGTGGATCAGTGTGTTTAACGTAACACTTTCGCTTTCCCGTGTCATCAAGGTCTACGGTGAAGCCTTCGCATTTGCGAACCCAACGCAGCTTGTAGGAGCGATCACAACTGTCGTGCGGGAGATCCTCGCCGTGTGCACTCTCTCGACAGATAGACTTGACAAGGAAAAGTTTTCAAAGCCGATGTTGCACGAGGTCGAGTTTGGTGATGCACAGTACCAGATCGTCGATTTCAACGTGCTGGAGGGATGGGTCAGCTTTCATCACTCCCTTCACTGGCTCCTTGCAGATCTGTTAAAGCACGTTGATATTTTATCAGAGGAGTCATTGAAGGAGATTGGGGTGTCTGGCGTCCGGGACTTGTTTTTGCGCCCCTTTAATGAGGGTGCCATTCTCACATTAATTGATTTCCCTTTACGAGGTAAAATGTGTTCATCATCAATATTGTAGCTTGTCTAACTGTGGTTTCGCAGTGCTCGCTATGATTGCTCAGATCAGGGCAGGATTATGGGTCCGCAACGGCTTCCCTATCCGTGGCCAGCTTCTGCACTACCGCGATTTCATGCTTCGCGAGCTCTGCTACGACCAAGACCTGTTCATTCTCCAGTCATCTCTTATCATCCTCGATCCAAATATCATCATTGTCTCCATCCTCGACCGTTTCGGCCTCCTCTCGTTCTTCCGTGGTGAAGTCGAGAAGTCCCCTTATGAAGGCGCCCATCTTCTGAGCATGGTTGAGGAGCTTCTCTACGTCCTTATAACTATTCTTGGCGAGAGAGCCAGCGCCACGAAACTCCCATTTCAGTGTGCCATCCGTCGCGAGATCGTGCACGCACTCGCGGCGGGGCCAAGTTCATTCACTGATCTTGCCAAGCGTGTCTCCGAGAGGATGGTAGATGATGTATCTTTTGAGCGCGTCCTCAAAGACGTATCTCATTTCCGCGCCCCTGAGTCGACATCTGACACCGGTGTGTATGAGCTCAAGGATGAGGCTTATGATGAGGTGG